AGATGAACAGCATGATACATGAGGAAATATTGACTATTCATGTTTTCTTGCAGAATGAGATTTGTATCAAAATAAAGAACTTCTATACCAAAGTCATGTTCTGTTAAAAAGCGAAAGGGTATTATGTTTTTGTGATTAGAGGCAGAATGGGGTGAATTTGGGTCATAGCTTGCAGGCTCTCAAAGCTTATAATTTTTTGATGGAAGTTCAGACCAGAAGATTTGCAAATTCATTTGGAAAGGGATGGGGACAACGAAGAGTTATTTCTTTATAGTTTTTTGCAAAGCAAAAACAGGAAAAAGCAGGATAGGAAACCTCTATAATTTGCATGCTTTCCACTACTGGTTTTAAAATATATTCTTTGCTATTGAAAGACTGTTTCACTGTTTTACTAAGGGAAACAAAGTGAAAAAGACTGCAGGTAAATGACATTAGATGATGTGATTCCATGAATTTTGCTGCTGGCCCTGCTTTCTTTGTCAGGTGGTTTGTAAAGTGGTGATGGAAAGAGAGCAGCAGCCCCCGCTGGCACTGGGAGCACTCCCACCCACCTCACAACTGCGTGTTCATTTGAGTCGATCAGCAATCATTTTGGGAGGCAGCTTAGGCTCGCATTTTATTCACCACTTCTGTAAACTGCCTAAGGATCTGTTTCAGTGACTGGACGTGTTGATGGGAGCACAGTGGATAGAAGAGAAAAAGGTAAAGAAGGCTGTGCCTCTGGAGAGACATGTGGCTCAGATGTGTGTTCCAATATCTTGTCTCCATTTAAAAAATTCTATGTCTATTGTATATAATAAGCTTTTACTTAGTTTTAATTACATAAACCTAAGGTAAAACCCTAAGACTTCTCAACTACAATTGCCAAATTTCCCTACCTTGGGAAAGCACTCCTGCCAGGTGTGATAGCTTCAGACAGCTTGGAAGTATCATGAAACCGCAATTCTGCCTGGACAACCTTGGCAGACACTGAGGCCCTTTGAATGCTTAGAAGATCAGCTTCTTGTGCTCACCTCTATCGAAAGGTGAGCTCCTCTTAAAATAGTAGTGGGGGTAGTAGTTGCGGTTCAAAGGAATGAAGAAGGCGGAAAGGGTGACTCATGTGCTGGAATTGCTGTAATACTGAACCACGAAGGGGGAGGAATCAGCAAGCAATCAGCAAGCTCCTGGCTTTCTTTTGGTGAAGTCTCTGTAGAGCTGGTGTGAATGGCTTACAAGAGGGATACTTTGGAGTCAGATAATGAGGTGTTTCTTCATATCAAGATGGCTGCAGAACTGAAGTCAAGCAGATCCAAGGCCAGCTGTAGCACTCTTTCCTCAGGGGCCAAGGAAAGGAAGTTGCAGAGAGACCTTAGAATACCTCTAAACCAAAGCACAACTCAAGTCCACATTGGCCTGACTGTCCCCTGGTAGTCTAGTGCCAAATAAGACAAAAATGAAGTGAGAACTTGGAGTTTATGTTGACCAAAACACAGGGGACTCTATATTTTATTTATTCAGTTATGTGTGTTTGCATTCCATCTGGTATACTTTCTTCCATTAGTCCTCAGAAAAAATTATTTATAAATGCTGAAAATTTGACTGCTGTGAAAGTAGTTGCATGGAAGGAACATACTCCCTGCTTTTCAAGGCAACATCTAATAAATGGAAAGAGAATGAAATGGACAGAAGTCCTGGGGCATAATCCATAATGACTAATACATGTAGACGTGTTTTTGAAGTCTCATGATCTTATTAAAATACTGACAATGTTGGCAGTTAGATATATAAAATAGCCATGCATGCTTATTTTAATATAAAATATATCAAATTGCTTACATGTTTTGGCTCAACGGAACACCACATAATTTCAATTAAATGGGTGTGGGTTAAGATTCTATCTCTCATGCTACTGGCATTGACCTTCGTAAAGTTATATGTGGTTCTGAATCTCTGTGACTGTATAGAAAATGTCAATGATATTTACAACAGAGAAAGGACACTTGTGAAGTTTAATTATTGCATGAGAGAATGTGTCTTGCTCTTGGTAGAACCTCTGTAGTTGGTGCTAATACACTACAAAAAGTTGTCATTTGAATGAATTGTAGTACTGGGGGAGAATAGTTTCATCTAGAAAAGAGTATCTTGGGATTGCAGAGTACTCTGCAGACTAAACACAGAACAATCTTCCTTCTATGCAGAGGAGTAAATGTAGGGTTGGGAGGAACGGTGGCAGCCATAAGGGCTGTGGGAAGCACATTGGTAACATAACCTCTACAGAATGGTTTACATAGGAGTCAGTATGATTCCTAACTTCTGCCTTTGCCCTAAATGTTATCCTCCTACCTCTCCTTCTCCACTAGCATCTCCTCAGATTCCCTTTTATTTAAAATTCCATTAGAATTTTTAAGATTCTTATTTCACTGAAATTGAGTTCATTTTTAATATCTATTATTGTTTTGTCATCTGAGGCCTCACATTACAATAATTTTCAGTTTCATTTTCTTACTGTAACTAAGAAAAGCACAAGAAGTGATTACATTTCTTTCTACCTATGGCTTGCTTCATAGAGGCAGGATCTTGATGCCAAACCCCATCCCCAGTTCGTGACCACACATTCAGGAAGAGCAATGACAGTCTTCATCATGGATCCTTTACAAGGTGTGAGTGTGCTACTACCTGGGCCATGCTACCTCATCCTAATCATTGTTTCTGGAGGGAAGAGCAAAATAAAGCCAATCAAAACATCAAAGCAATTTTTGATCACAGATTAAATGATGAGGCTAGAAATAAGAGTCAAGATAAGCAGGGAATGGCTATCATGAATGTGAAATTATTAAGCAAATCCAAGAATAGATAAACCAGAGGACAGCTCTTCTTTGAAGTGATTTTAATGGCAAGATTCTAAAAAAAAAAAAATCCAATAAAGCAGCATATTTATCCTTAATTCCTTTATTTTCCTTTGCATTTTCACTTAAAACAGAAGGGTTGAGGGGACGGGTGTGTGTGTGTGTGTGTGTGTGTGTGTGTATATATATATTCATCACCTTCCTTATTATTTATATTCTGCAGGAATTTTCCCATCTTTCACATTAAGGAGTAGATATTAACTCAGCATTATAGAGTTCTCTTTCACAAAGCAAGATGGAATGTAAGTATCTAAATATATTTTTGCTTTGAGCAATTTATTCTGCACCCAGGAGAAGACCTAAGGCCCTCTGTCTATGGAAGAGACAAGGATTCAGGACTATAGTAGACATTTACCACATCCAAACTTTAGGACTCTCTTCCTGGCTTTCTAGAGGAGGGAGGAAGAGAGAGAATGCAGGGGACAATCTCATCATGAAGAACTCATGATTTTATATAGATCTAATTATCTCCTAAAGGTCCAGCATTTTTCAGTTAATGCTTCAAAATATGAAGTTTGGGAGCTACAATTCAGTCTCTAGCATCATCCACCTCTAGGCTCAATCTTTTCCCTTCCTTACGTTTGGGACATCACGGCATGTTGGTATACTTTTTGTATGATAATCCTAGGTCTGTGCTGAAAGCAGTCTTGTTACTGGTTCTGCTCTGAACTTGATTTTTTGAAAAAAGACTTTATTTACTGGATAAATTTTAGATTCACAGAAAAATAAATCAGAAAACATACTTTCCGGGGCCTCTCTGGTGGCGCAGGCGGTTGCGCGCCACACTGTGAAGCTGTCTGCAGTCTTTGCAGCGTGAGTTCGATCCCAGCCAGCTGGCAAGGGTCCCATATGGCACAGCAGACCTCCCCTGTCTTGCCCTCTGCTCCCCTCAGCAGCATATTTCGTCAGTCTGCCTGTTCTGTTCCCCGCTCTGTCTCTGGTGAATCCTCTCACCCTCCCACACATCTGGCTTGCACCCTGGTTCTTGTATAAAAATAAATGAATCTTTAAAAAAAAAAAAAAGAAAACATACTTTCCATAAACTTCCTGACCCCAACACCCTATATGCATTCTTCCCCACTATTTATATCCTGTACCAGAGTGGTGCATTTGTTATAAAGGATGAATTACATTGACATTCATTACCACCAAAAGTTCACAATTGTGAAATTCACAAAAGTTCACAATTTAGGGTTCTCTTGGTGTTATACATTCTATTTATAAATGTATATTGTACAAAGAATAGTTTAGGAAAATGTGTAATGACATGTAGCCAACATTTTTGTGTAATACAGAACAATTTTGTTGCCATAAAAATCCTGTATGCTCCACACATTCATCCCTCCCTCCCACCTAACCCTGGCAAACACTTAGTGCTTAAACTATATCCATTATTTTGCCCTTTCCAGAATGAAATATAGTTGGAATCATAAATTATGTAGCTTTTCAGGTGGACTTATGTCACTTACTAATAGGCATTTAAGATTCCTCCATGTTTTGTTATTAGATTAGCTCTTTTTTTGTGTGTGTGTACTAAAGATGTTTTCATCTTTAATCTCCTAGAATTCTGCCCTTAGCTTTAAATCTCTTTGTGCCTAGATTTGGCCCCACGTGTATGTGAGTCTCCATGTTTGCTGCTTAGATTCTCAGCTTGTGGATCCTAAGTTCTGTCTGCCTTCCTTCTCTTACTAATTCAGCTCTCATCTTGGCTTCTCAAACCACAGATTGGTTTGGCCTTCCCTTGTGTCAGTTATCTTTTATGGAGTCCGGTGTGGCACTTGACAGGCAGAGTAATGATATAGAAATGTTTATGAACTTGTTCCTTGCTAAACATCTAAACATAAATCTGTTCCAAGCAATAAACTGGAACTGGTATGAGAATTCTGCAGTGGCCTTGTGACTAGAAAGGGAGTGCCTCACCCAGGTGCTTGACAACATGAATGCTGCCATAGCCCACCATCTCACCTGCTGGGCTCTGAGGAGCCCTGGTTCCAGGCTGAATGTCTAGGGACACCTGTATGAATTGGCACCCTATTCCCCTCATAAATCCTTAGACCCTTGAGCATCTCAAACTATAACTAGAATGAGGAACTCCTGACACTGGTTAAAAGAAAGAATTTATTAGAAATTGATAGAGCAAGAAACAGAGCTCCAGACCTCCTTATAAAAAAAGGCTCCCTAAAAGGCTGGTTTCAGCTTATACAACTAATAAGATAGTAGTGGAAAAGGGAGATGGCTTCATTACATCAGGAGGGGGAACTCCTCCATACATTCCAGGTGATGCATGCAGTCACAGATCATGCTTCTTCATATAACACATGTTCAGAAAATGGAGGGCAAATCTGGGCCAGAGGAAATCCTAACATTGAAGTGAGTCACCAGCTCTCTCCTGAGCATGTTCCATAGTTTGGCTTATGTTGAATCTGGTCAGTGGTTGAGGCTTCCTGTTTTTTTCAAGCTGTAAGATTTCAGTGGCCTCTGAAGATAACTTGACATACAGTGATAAAAGCGTTTTATGGTGTGGGGCTCCTGGAAACTTCTGCATGTTGCTTATGTAGGGGCATTTGAAACTATTGCTCAGCTCTTTTGGGATTCTGATGGCCAATTCCTTGTTCCCATTCTTAACCATATGAATCTGATAAAATACACACACAAACAAACACACACACTCCTCAAAACTAACAAAGAGTTGAATAGTTGAGATGAGTTATTACATTTTTTTCTTATTTTCATTTCAAAATGGAATTGCCATTAGCATTTTTTTAATATCAATTAACATTGTTATTCTTTATAAGGCAGATGATTCACATGAAAAATGTATTACTTTTCTTCTCCCCCTTCTTCCTCCCCTGGTGTTTAAATAGGGAGAAAATCCAAATATTGGAGAAGAATGTTGTTAGCTTCACGAGTGCTCATATTGTGGCAAGTTAGGAGAATCTGAAAGCCGAGGCTTAACTCAATATCACTAATATGATGCAGGCTTATTTGGTTCAGTTCTTTTAGCATCATAAAGCTGAATATTTTTTTTTTCTTTGCAGAGAAATAAAATGGTATGATGCAGAAAGATCTCAGTTAAAAGCTTTGGAACATTAACCTTTCTTGGTTTCTCTGTACTGATATAAATGACATAATTGCATATTGTGTTTGAATCCACGTAGGAAGTCTGAAGAGATGTTGTGAGAAATCATCTGCAGGTTGTTCAAGTTCTATGAAAATATGAAAAAGGTGCTATATTGGGAGAACTCTTCGACAATAACAAAAAAGGACTGTTGTTTTACTATAGCTGATGCAAAAAAGATGGAGGGGAAGGCAGGCCTGAGAAAACACAGTGATGGGTTAGGCAGATGAGATGATTTTATCTGTTGATATCTAAAGTACTCTCTCTGCACACTCTTTAGTGAGAAAGGAGACAATGCCAAGAATTATGAATATATGCCATAATTATGTTCAACTGCAGTCACAATGACCTGTTCTTGTCCCATATCAAGAGAATAATTTGGTAGTTGCTTCTTTTCCAATGGAATGGTTGAAATATCTTTTGTTTCTCTTTAAGTAAATGGCTAAATTCATTGTTACAGAACTACCGATGATTTAATTTAACATGAAATGAATAAAAAATGGACTCACTCCCACCTTGATTGCTGTCAGCATTTTAATAGTGGAAGAAGTGCCTTTTTTACAACTGGGATTGGACAAGATCTGAGGGAGGAAAGACTTAGAATGCAAGACTGAGGAAGCATCATGCTGTCTGTCCCTAGGGAGAAAAGAATCTGTCCTCATTTTGAAATAGCTCTTGGCTATGGCTCAGAAACACTCAATGGGCAGCTTTAGAAATTGTAACACTTTCTTTGACAAAGAGAAAAATCACTGTATGTCTGTGTACTCTTAAGGGAGATAGAGGAAGTGAAAAAGACACAGACATTATAATGGACTTGTAGCAAATGCCCATATTATGACTTTTTTTTTTTTAATTAGGAAACAAGCATTCTTCTATAAACATAACTAAAATTTTCTGGAAGGTTTCTGATTGCCATTATTTTATTTTCTGTTCAGATCATGTGTTCCAATTCTGCATTAAGGAGTATGTTTAATGTCTATCAGTTAATAAAATTAGTATACAAAAGGACTTTCACTACAATCTTAGATTTTTTTCCATCAGTATCCTTAAATCTCTAAAAATACTTTTACTCAAGGTGAGTATTCCTCATTTTGCGCTGGAAGTTAGCTGGAGCACATGTTTTCTCTGGATTTCTATCTATTACATCTTCCTTTCCCACACTCAGAGTTCTAATCTTAGATTTCCCTCACCTTTATATTTCAGGCAATAGAAACTGCCAAACTTAAAATCAGTTCTGAGTTTGAAGAGTTTACATAGGGTCAATGGAATTGGAAGTTAGGAATTCTTTCTTTTTAAAAGGTATTTTGACTAGGGGGGAAATTAACCACTGTTTTTGTTGCCTATGAAACAGTATAAAGAAAACTGACATATAAACACTGACATATAGACATTTCAACAATATTCAGGGGTAAATCCCTGAAAATTAGTTTACTTTCAAAGTCTTTCAGCATTGTCCTTCTGGAATAAAACCACTTTTATAGAAAATTGGAGAAAACTATTTTGAAGATTCCTTGATCGAATTGATGTTAAACCAAGCATATTATCAAAGTATATACTGAGTCAGGAGAAAGTCTTTGTCTCTCACCAAAAACATTTTATTTTAAAATGGTAATTTTTGTTAGCAGTCATTATAAAGGAGTAGAATGAAAAGAATGTGAAGTCAATAGAGCTTTGCTCAGCAATTACCAAGTAGACTGGGGATCCAAAGACCCCTCTATACTTTTATTGAAGAATTGTTTTATGGGGATTTATTGAGATCAAATATGCAAAACACCTAACAGAGTGTCTTTATATAGTAGTTGACTCAATAAAAGTCTGTCCCTTCTTCAACCCTCAAAGTGGTATAATGATTCAGAAAAAAATAACATGAATTTTTGCTTTTCTACTCTTCTATTAGGTTTTATAAGAGAAAGTTGAAAATAGATTATTTTCCAGAGCCTTCTAGAACACAATCCTTGGTGTTCCATAGTTTATAGATGTATCTCTCCTATCTCTACCTCCATCATCACAAGCTGCTTTCCTTCTTCTGTGTGTGTTTGTGTCTGAATGTCCCTCTTCTTTATAAGGACAGCAGTTCAATTGGATTTTGGACCTACCTTTATTTAATATGACTTCATCTAACTTGTAGTTAATTGAATTACTGAAGTCATTATATTTACAGGTTGAATTGCCTAAACCTTTAGTTCAGTGTTATTTCTGCAATGTCATAAAATTGTTTTGACCTTTAAATTTATTTACTATCTTTAGAATGAAGAAAAGTAAATATTGTGAAAAAAAATTTAAAACCCTAGAGTCTCCTCCCCCTTACAGCTGAGACCAATTTCAATAATTCTGCCTCTTGACAATTAGATCTTGATTCCTAGGTACCTTATTTTATAGTGTTAGAGATAATGACATGCATATAAATATAAAACCTATATCTTACTTTATGAGTGACTATTGAAAAATATAGAAATGACTGTTCCTTCCATTTTTTCCACCGGGACAATTCTTAATTATCAATTATCACTTGTTTCCATATCACAAATTGTTTTCTTTCTCCCTCCCTAGTTCTATGTGTATCCAGTTTTGTGGGAATAACATTAAATAACATCCTAGAAGAACAAACAAAACATCAGGTTCAGTGTGTTTGACCACATTTCCAGTTTGTAAATAAGTCTTGGTTGGATAACTGTGTTTATAAGAGAAATTGTGGCCAACAGACCCTTAGTCTCTACAGTCCACAGAGAAGGCTAAATTTGTTTCTGATTTTTACATGATCAGCTGTATGAAATATTGATGCAGGTAAGTGATGCATTGCTATTGTTCATCTCTTTGTACTCAAACTTAATGTGTATTTACAAAGGGACACTAATCTGGAAGCAGGTGGAAACAGTTATATATTAAAAGTTTATTGGGACAACAGATTTCAAAATGAAAGTTTATTTTCCATTTCTCACGCTTTCCACTACTATATGGAGTATGAGCCTATATTTTGATTTTAAACTCCTCTCTGTTTTTCCTCTTCATTTTAAACTTATTGCTTTGCCCATTAATTTGCAGAGTGAAAAACTATAATTGAATTCTCTTACCTCTGTTGTGTGCTTTCCAACAGTGCATGTCCAGAAGAAAGCCATGGCAGCTCTGATTCTACAGCCCATATAATCCTTTGGTAGCGGGGAAGCAAAAAGTCAGTGGTCAGTAGTGCCCATATCTTAAATGAATACATTCCTTGAAACTGGGTTCACTGTCAATAAGAGACTTGAAAATTCTAATCGCTAATTAAAATCACTACATTAAAGTAAAGGGAGGAAACTCTAACAGCATGCCGGTTGGTTCCTAACGGTTTTCCATGACAGCTTTCTATAACACAGATGACCTCTCCAGGCAGGGTGCATTAAGGAAACAGTCTTAATTTTCTATCCAACAACTTACTTGATGATGAGATGAATCAATCAGAATGTTTTACTGCTGAATGAAAAATGAATATAAACTCCTATTTGACATTCTAAAGCAGTTTACAAAGAATCTTGTGACATATACAAATGAACTATCATTGGAAAAACCCATGAACCCTATATTCTTGGATCACACCTCCTTTTCCCATTTTGGAAGTTTCTAGACAGTTATATAATTAGAAAGTTAGCTCATAGCTGGCAGGCATAGGTTCTCCCATAGAAGGAATAACTCAGCAGGTATTATCATCATGGATAAAGAGTTATTACCATAAATGTTTTTGCTTTAGTTCTCATTTACTGTAATAATTAAGCTTTTCGCCAAGGATATTCTTTATGTTATGTTGAGAATACTCTTAAGGGATCAGGTCAAATTCTGGGGTTTTCCTTGCACTTTGATAAAAGCTGAGAGGAAGAGTCCTCTGTTTGCTCTTAAGCTGGTTTCCCCTGTGAAAGGCATCTGCTTCTCTGCAAATCCTTTTCTCAAGGATTGCTAAAGGAGAAAATCTGTTCAGCCCAAGCTTTTCCATGTTCTCCAACCCTCCATATTCCCAGTTTATTCTGTAGGGTTTTATCCCTCATAGCTTAGAAACCATATTAAAATACTTTGGAATAAAAGTCAGAGAGCTGTGGCAAATTCTACTTTATCCTACAAACTTCCTCTCATGTACCAGCAAGAATAATAAACTACAATATTTTGAATCCCAGTTTTGCCTTTGCAAGCTCCACAGGTAAGTTATATGACCTTTCTGTGTTTTAGTTTTATCATCCTTAAGATAAGAATGATATAGTTTGGAAGACTATTCAAAGAATTAAATGTGGTATTTTATATGAAAATGTTCGTAGAATGAGACTTGTATAAAGAATAGTTTCCTGCACCAACTCCTGCATTAATGCACATATCCCTGCATTAAGTTTTTAAAAAAGGAGTAGAGATCAAGAGTAGGTGGGAATGGTTCTGAAGATTTATTTGTATTGAAAGATCCCTCATCATCTAGGAAATTAGGTCTCATGCTTTGTTCCTCAAAGCAAGTCCCATGGATACTTCTGCCCCCTTAGCATATCCAAAGTAGGAATTCTTCTCCGTTTTCTCATATTCTTTTTTTTTTAAGATGTATTTATTTATACAAGAACCAGGGTACAGGCCAGATGTGTGGGAGGGTGAGAGGATTCAGATACAGAATGGGAAATAGAACAGGCAGATTGACAAAATACACTGCTGTGCAGCAGGCGAGACAGTAGAAGTCTGCTTCGCCATGTGGGATTCTTGCAGGCCAGCCAGGATCGAACCCGCACTGCAGAGGCTGCAGACAGCTTCACAGTGTGGTGCTGAGCCACCAGCGGAGGCCCCTTTTCATATTCTTAATGATTTTTATTGCTTTTATTTGGCTTCTTTCCTTGTTTGTTAGGGGTGCAGTAGTGAGTCCAGTAAGGGATATTTTCTGGTACAATGCACTTCTCTAACAACTGTCAATTTTGTGCATATTGCCAATACATTTTGCCTTTATATCAGTGCTCTCTACAAAAGGAAGAGCAGGGATATCATGTAGTTTTGCTAACAAAAGTTACCATATGTCTTTAGAAATATCTTACAAATTGTATTTACATTTTTCTTTATCGCTTGGTTCATTTTCCTGAAATTTAGTAGGTATTAATAAATAATTGCTAAAAATAAATTAGTCAGGGGCTAAATTAAGACTTGGAGATTTAAAGATTAGTAAAGGAAGTGGCAGTAGTACTGGGGTAGATGAGAGGACATAAATTGACCTTAGGAATCTAAAATTTATTCTGTTAAGAAAAGTGAGCGACAATCTTTGGAACACCCAAAGATTTGTGTCATCAAAGTAGAGTATTTGAGGAGAGCATAGGTCTTAGTACTGTTTCAGGAATCTTGGCAAAAGTGAAGTAATTAAATGAGCAACTTTTGACAGTGAGAATGTTTAGATGCAATAAATATGGAAAATGCTGAATGGAAAAGGTTACACAAGAAGGAATATAGAAAAACTAAGCAAAAGGTCAGACAAAGATAAACTTTAAAACCAACCCTTGAAAATCAAACGCAGAATTGAGACATTCAAGGGGAAGTGGAGAAGGTGAGAACAGAGTGGGGAAAGCGCATGATGGACAATTGTGGAGAACTATTGGTGCTTTGTGGGTGGTGTTCTATGGTGAGTACACCTTATGGGGGAGATCTTATACTTCCAAAACAATATCAAGGATGTAAACCAATGACACTTCAATAAAATAAATATTAAAAAAGTGGTTTACAAGGCCTCCCTGGTGGCGCAAGTGATTAAGCACTGCACTATAAAGCAATCCACAGCCTCTGCAGCACGAGTTTGATTCCCGGCCAGCCAGGGAGCAACCCACATGGTGAGGCAGACCTCTCCTGACTCGCCCACTGCTCCCCTCAGCAGTGTATTTCAATCAGTCTGTCTGTGCTGTCCCTCACTCTGTCTCTGGTGTATCCTCTCACCCCCCGCATCTCTGGCCTGTCCCCCAGCTCTTATATGCATAAATAAATAAATCTTTAAAAAAAAGAAAAAGAAAAAGTCAAAAAAATAAATTAATAATAATAAATGGTTTACACATGAAGCAGTAGATTGACTACAGAAACAAACCATTTAGACATATCAGATGATGGAGGTCTCATGACTTGTTGAGTCAAGATACGGAGTTACTCAAGGTAAAGAGTGCCAATTGTACAGTTTAGGTGACTGATAAGAAGGTGAAAGTGCATTGAAGGAAGTACTCATGCTCACTGGTTAAATTCTTGACTATTAACTTCAAGTGACCCTGGGTGTTGGTTAGATATCCAATTAAATTCTATTATTCTTTCACTCTTTTTCTATTCTCCTTAAAAATCTAACACATTCTTCCCAGAAAAAAAAATCTTACCTTATTTTTTATTTTCATTTTGTTGCAGGGCAGGGAGAGGGCCACCCAGAACCCCCAAACCTGCCTGCTCTAAATAGGTTCTGCCATTTGCCGCATCAATACAAAACATATAAGACCTTTATTGGAAAGAAACCTTAACACAATTAGTGAACAATACAGAAAAGACAAAGAACATAGTTTCTAAATCAAGCACCCAAACTTATGCATCCCCATGTGGGTAAAAGTCCACCCAAACGGGATTGACCCAGAGCAAGGCCTGAAAGCCTGCCACAAGGCTGGCGGGGACTCATAGAAAAGACAAGTCTGGGAGGAAAAGAGCAAAATCTAAATCAAATGAAAGTTCCATTGTTAACCTTCCCACGGGTCTCTCACCCACATCTGTTTCAACCAGTCCAGGACCAAAAAGCAAGTGCAGCTTCTTCACATGTCTCTCTGCTCCATGTACTCCTTCAGGTCTTCTCTTTGCTCTCCAGCTTCTCTCCTTCTCCAGTCTCTCCCCCGGCTTCTTCTCCTCCCTGCTGAGCTCCACCCTCCTTTGGGTGGAGCAGGGAACCTGGGACCTCCCCTTTTCCTGGGGGACCACCCTGTTACAATTTCATGAAAAAAATGCAAAGAACAAAAGAGGCTCTTACATCATCTTCCAATTCTTATTCTTCTCCATCCTTTTCCTTCCTTTCCTGGAAAATTCAATACTTAAGATTTTAGGTATAGTTGGATGAAGCAAAAAGGCATCTCCATGGGAATTAGAATGGGGGAGCCAGAGAATGGTTAAAAAGTTGTCTTTGGACCACGTCATGGGACTTTATTACTCATGTAGAAAAGTAGATTGCCAGCACCACAGTTACAAACTAATTTACATCTGTATTCCCTACTCTGTTTTGCATCCTATTGCTTGAATTAACCGGCTCTTCTATTCAATGCTAACTCCTCTGCTTAAACAATAGATACCATCCCCTCTTGACTAGTTAGTGATATACATACATCTCTTCTTTAATGTCAATTCATCTTGCTATACCGTTCCCATCAGGGTACTAGCTGTAGTGGCTTCTGTTTAAAATAAAAATCCCTTGACTCCACTTTGTTCTCCAAATACTGCCCTTTTCATCTCTACATTAAAGAGCAAAGTTTCTTGGGGGAAAAAAAAAAACAAAAGCAAAAAATTGGTTTCATTCTCCATCTTCAATTCCTCTCCTCCTATTCTCTTTTGAACTTATTTTAGGTTTGTTTAATCCCTACTACTACTCCAAAACTTCACTCATCAAGGTCAACAGTGGCTTCCACATCATTAAATCAAATGACCAATTCTTATCTCACCTATCAGTATCATTTAGCCTCAAGATTACTCATTTGTGGAAATACTTTGTTCACTAGATTTATGGAAACCTTTTTTTTTTTTTTTTTAATCTCAGTGGCTGCTACTTTTCTATTTCTTTTGCTGTTCCCTTCTCATTTCTTCAGTATCTACATTTTGGAACGTCTGCTCAATCCTGAGAACTACTCATTTCTCTGTCTACGTTATCCTCTAGATTATATCATTTGTCTCATAATTTCATGACTTGATGATTCACAAATGCATATCTTGTCTCTGAACTCCAGAATTATTGTATACAATTACCTATTTAGCATCTCTTCCTGGATGTCTAATGTATGTCAAAACCCTAATATATCCAAATCCCTACTCATTATTTATCTAATATCCTCCAAACCTGCTCCTCCTGTAAGCTTCCTGATCTCAGTAACAACTCCATTCCTTAGTTACTCAGGCCTAAAGCCTTGGAGTCATTCCTTATGTGATCCATCATGAATTCAGCTTTATTTAAAAATACATTAAAAAGCTGACCACAGGGCCTCCCCGGTGGCGCAGCGGTTGAGCACTGGGTTGCGAAGCTGCCCGCAGCCTTTGCAGCGCCAGTTCGATCCCCGGCTGTTCCCCGGCCACCGGAGGAGGGTCCCACATGGCACGCAGACCTCTCCTGCCACCCGCTGCTCCCCTCAGCAGTGTACTTCGGTCCTTCTGCCTGCTCTGCTCCCCGCTCTGGCTCTGGTGACTTCTCTCACCCTCCCGCGCTTCTGACTGTACCCAGTGCTTGTATAAATAAATAAATAAATCTTTAAAAAAAAAAAAAAAAGCTGACCACATTTTACCATCCCCATGTCCCATGTTCATAATTTTCTCTTATCTGGATTATTATAGCCATCCTCTAACTGGATAGCTTGCTTCCACCCTAGCCTTTAGCAAGCCAGTCTATCTTAATAGAGCAGCCAGAGATGTCCTCTTACATTTGTGTCAGGTTGTACTTCTGTTGTGGTGAAAACTCCCCCTCGGCTTCTGTGCTGCCTTCACAGAAAAATCCAAAACTCTCTAAGACATGACCCTATGCTCTTTTCTGACTAGATTTTCTACTAATCTCCTGTCTCATCTCTGGGAATTGGCTCCTTTGCTCGCTCTTAGATGCTTTGTACTTGTCGTAACCATAGGATCTTTACACCTGCTATTTCCTCTGCCTGAAACTTTTCTCCAAATATACACTTGGTTCTCGCCTCCCTTCAGATTTCTACTCAAATGCAAACTAATCAGACACCCTGACAACCACTGTAAAGTAATAGTTTTCCCTACTCGAGTCCTCCCAACATTCCTGTTCTGCTCAGTGTGCTTTATTTGTCTCCTTAACACTCCTCTCCATCTGACAGACATTTACTTATATATTTATTTACTGTCTTTCTTCCCACCACTAAATTGAAAACTCATTGCAGGAAGGGGTTTTGTTTATTTTGTTCCCTGTTGTTTTGTTAGTACGAGGGCAGTGTCTAAGAGAGAGCATCTACTCCATAAATATATTGAGAAGTTTCAGAAATGAGTAATAGATTTCATTCTTCAAGGGTAGATATTAATTATTCTGAGAGAGAAATCCCCTATGTTGATATGAGTTGTTGACACATCAGTGTGATTTATGTCCGATATAATTAAAAAGTCATGAGGGAATAAGGACAGATAGGTATTTGTACACCAGGTTTCAATTCTGAAAATGTCCTTAACAAGCACTATAAGTCAGTGAGATTTTTTTTTTTTTTGTCATCTTTAAAATAGTGTTGTTGGATTGGATGGACATTTCTTAATTTGAAACCTAAGGACTCCTCATCAGCCCAAAATGGGCTTCAGGGGGTATGTGCATTTTTTTATTTTTGTATAAAAAATTTTGAGGCCACATGCACATATATCCATTTCCCCTCCCCCTCCTCAAGTGAGAGAAAGATGGTAACCCTGAAATGGAGTCGATGTCCTTTGAGTCTCTTTTAGTCCAGCTTCATATGATTCTAAGTTTTGAAGAGGCTGACAGGAGACAGCTCGATGCTCCTTTGCCCAGGCAGAGGCAGTTCTACCACACTATGAGCAAGTGGCTGCTCCTCGCATTTTGGTTTGTATCACCTGCACAGTGAAGTCATTTGTATCAGATGATCCAGGATAGTACTTTCTGATTCTACATTCAATTTAAACAAACCAGATCCAAAGTAATAATAATAATAAACCCTAGTAGTAAACTGGGAACTCAGTTTTATCTTCTGGGTCCTCAGGGTTCAGAATCCCAAAACTGCTAAATTCTAGGAGCAATTTGAAAGGTAAGGAAGGGACAATAGACAGGTGGTTCCTGCCTAAAACTCTAACTGAGGTACTCAGTGAACTTCTTTAAGATGGAAAATGAAGTTTTAAGAATACTGGGAATGGAGATGGAAAAACTTTACTGCTTTCCCCCAAGAGACTTGGAGTCTGGTTTTTGAATGTTTACCCTCATGAATCCTGACATAAATTAAAGCAAGTATCTTTCTATAGTATTGGGGAATTTTATTTTGAAGGGCTAAATGATTGTGTTTAGTCTAATGTACCCTTGCTAGTCAACTTTTCTCTTTAGAATCTGGATAACATTTTGTCATTGAGGAAATGAATTGTCAAATAATTTTGCATAATTTTGATTTGTTCCACTTTTCTCCCAGCTCTGTCTCCCTGGCCCTCAAGTGCTTGCTAGTGCCTGTTATTTCTCTCTTTATATGTGTGTCCTCTTTGCTCTGGAAAATAAATAACTGTGAACTTAGAACATAAATAATTATGTTCTAAGAAGAGACATAGCATTTAGAGGAATTTGTGTGAAACTTCTTCCTAGGATACAATGTGAGGGGGACAGGGGGGATAGTGTGGAAGGTGAAATGTTGATCCAATAACCCTCTCATTCTTTCATTCAGTGCCTACTGCTTGCCAAACCCTATGCTGAATACTTAAAGTCAAAAGAGACACACTCCCTATTCTACAGCCTCAAAGTCACAACAAAACAAAGCCTGATGTCTTCTCCCAGGGATTCACACTGGAATCTACTCTGTGTTCAACATTTTGCTCCTCCTTCCCTGGAAATGGGGAGGCTGGGTTGTATGATGACAAGGAGAATGTCTTTGGCCAATAGACAAGTTGTCTTCATTACTCCTGTGAGGGAGAGGGGCTGAATGGGACATTTTTTCAAGGCCTGGCCCAAACTCCGCTGTGCCTCCAGGGTCCATTAGACTGCAGGTCACAGCAGCTGGAGCCCAGGCACCCAGAGGCGGTCACGGGTCTGTGCTGCCTGCTCCTGGAGACACAATGGACTCATTGACTATTTATTTACTGGGTACAACAAGGCTGCTGTTGACTTAATTAAGGGAGCCTCCCAATCACTCTGAGGGGATCTTTAAAGGACTAACGACTAGCCATTGCCACTAAATCATCTGTAACCTTTGTAAGTTTCAGTCTCCTCTACTTGGGTGAGTGGAAAAAAAAAAAAAGCATGTAGGGGGCACTGGAGAGCCCAGAGCCTAGAACCTAGATGATAGAGACTTTTTTTTCATGAGACTATGAGACTGGAGTGGGATCTAGTAGTACTGAGTTTCTGTGTTTTGGGTCTGGGGTCAGGGCTAATGAGTCAGGTTCTAGCCCTGGGGACTGGAGGTAGACAGTGCTTCCCCAGGTTTGTACTCTGCTTTAACTCTCCCAGGGCTGCAAGGAAAGAAGTAACCAATGGACAAATGCTTGTCTCCAATCAAGACAATTGATACCTGGGGGGCGCATAATCTTTTTACTTCCGGATCTTCTGATTTAGAGATTGTAATGCCACTGGGTATCAGGGCTGCTTTAGGACTCAGCAGTTATGGGAATCTCACCTGGCACTTTCTTTACACAACCTGTTTGAAAATTGCCTGCCAGGCCCAGAGCATCCAAACTGTTCCCGCTCAGCCTCACTTAAACCTAGCGAATCGCTGCTTGCCAGCTTCCTCTGGGGGCAACTGCTAAGTCTCTGCTCTAGTTAATATTTTAGGGCCGAGGATAAAATAGCAACGATATTGAATAGATGTTGACTTTTCGACCCAGAGGAGCGGAAATCCGGGATTGTTTGCAGAAGCCAATCGGTTTTTTTTTTTTTTTTTGAAACTAGGAAGCAGGGTGAGTCTGGTGTGCTTGCTTCCCCTGCCGGGTGCGGTTGCCCTCTGGAAATCCAGCTTCGGGAAAATT